ATGTCAGCGAGGGCCTCCCAGGAGGCCCACAAAGGGGGAAGCCAAGGCTAGGGTACAGTAGGTTCGCCTCGTGTCGACCAGCTGCGACCCCGCTGCTTGCGTTCAACTTTGAACGCCGCCGGCGACCCAGAATCGGGACGGCCGATCGTTCCAGGTGGAACGATCCCCGCGATGGCAGGAACCAATGCCGGAGAGGATACGACGCGAACCTGCCGTAGCAGTATGGGTACCTTGTCTTCTTCCTCCGAGCATCGGACTGCGGTCGAGGGCAACAATTAAGGAACACCCCTCCCAGGCCCCCCGGTCTCGGAGTTGGGGAGACTGCGGTCGAGGTGCAACTCGTCAGACCCACCACCAACTCTGAACATTTGGGGGGACGGGGAGGCGTCGACAGAGGAGTGTGGCCTGAGTGTTCGCTGTTTTTTGCCGAGGACTGTGTGGGGAGGCCGAGTCTCCCCGCTGCGGGCGCCCGCCCCGAGGCCTCAGCGGCCCGAGCCTTTGGGCCTCGCCCTTTAATTATTGATTGGAGCCTCCCGAGGCGGGCCTGGACGACGAGGAGCCGCTGGTGCAGGCGCGCCCCGTCGGTGGCAAGTCGTGGGAGCCTGGTAGGCCCTCCTCCTCCTCCTCCCTCGTCCTCCTCCTCCTCCCTCCTCCTCCTCCTTCTTCCTTCTCCTCCTTCTCCTCCCTCGTCCTCCTCCTTCTCCCTCCTCCTCCTCCTCCTCGTCCTCCTCCTCCTCCTCCTCCCTCCTGCCTCCTCCCTCCTTCCTGCTCCTCCTCCTCCTCCTCCTCCTCCTCCTCCTCCCTCCTCCCTTCTCCCTCCTCCCTCCTCCCTGTCTCCAATAGGCTTCATACCCGCAACACAGGCAAGAAAACACGGGCAATGCGCGCCAATCGACCTGGCGTTGCGGCCGTGCCCGGGGCCAGCAATCTACACGACCGAGCCCCCGCCAGGCCCATCCTGAACCAAGCAGCGGTGTACACGCTACGCTCTCCTGGCTTTGGAGCCTTGTAGGCCCTCTTGCAGTGGAAGCCCATGGCGCATGCCAAGAAGCACCCTGCTTGCCTCCGGGGTCCCCGGGTTTCTTGGGTTTCCAAGGTTTTGCCACAGAAGGCGTGACGTTCCCACACCAAAAGTCAATGGACGCCCTGGGGTCTCAAGGTTGGGTTTCTTGTGGAAGGTCTCTTGTGGTCGAATTCCTAGTGTAAATCCGTCTTTGCGTCGATTGGCGTCGATAAGCGTCAGGGAGTCGATGAGGTAGCGCCGATTTAGCGTCGGTCAGCGTCGGTTAGCGTCGACTAGCGTCGAGTAGCGCCGATTCGCAAGAGCCGACAGTATGGTACGGGCGGCTCCCATGAGTTGCCACCGAAATGAGTGGCCTGTTCTCCACCACCACCGCCACAAGCTGGAGGGGGGAAGGAGGTGGAGGATGGGAGGAGGAGGAGGAGGAGGAGGAGGAGGAGGAGGAGGAGGAGGAGGAGGAGGAGGAGGAGGAGGATCCCCTCCCCCTCCTACTTGTGGTGGTGGCGGTGGAAACCATGCCCACCACGAAAGGCGCCCCCGTGCCAGGCTCCGCGCCCGGCGGCGCCGCGGCAGCGGCAGGCCGCGCGCCGCCCGCGCGGCGCGCCCGCCGGGGCTTGGAGGTCCTAAGCAGCGCTTGCACTCAGCAGCAAGAGGTCGAGACGAACGCGCGCCTGCACCGCTCCCTCCTCCTCCCTCCTCCTCTCCCTCCTCCTCCTCCTCCTCCTCCTCCTTTTCCTCCTCCTCCTCCTCCTCCTCCTTCTCCTGCTCCTTTTCCTCTCCCTCCTCCTCACTCCTCCTCCTCCTCCTCCTCCTCCTTCTCCTTCCCGCCTTCTCTCCTCCTCCTACCTCCCCTCATCTCCTCCTCCTCCTCCTCCTCCTCCCTCCTTCCTCCTCCTCCTTCCTCCTCCCCCTCCTCCTCCTCCTCCTCCTCCTCCTCCTCCCCCCTCCCCCCCCTCCTCTCGTCCGCCTCCTCCTCCTCTTCCTCCTCCTCCTCGTCCTCCTCCTCCTCCTCCTCCTGCAACCTCCTCCTTCCTGCTCCTCCTCCTCTCCTCCTCCTCCTCCTCCTCCTCCTCCTCCTCCTCCTCCTCCTAGAACCGCTCCAGATCAGGTCGCCGTGTCGCTGGGGCCACGCCGCGCTCTGCCCTCCACGCCCTCCGTTGCCGAGGTTTGACCAAGGCGGCACGCGCCGCGGCGCCATTGTATGCCTCGCGAGGGGCCCTGATGGCGGTCCACGCGGCCGCGGGCCTGGCCGCCGCAGGAGGGATGCGCGTTTCGGCGCGCCTCCTGCGGGTGGCGGAGGGGCTCATCCGCACGGCTGGCCGAGCTGGCAGGGCAGCCCGCCCCCCCCGCCGAGGACGCCGCGGGCCCCCTGGCTGCGCCGCCCCGGCGCCGCCGCCCGCGCGGCCGCGGTGGCCGCATGGAGGTGGACCCGCGCTTCGAGCTGCAGGACGTCGTGGAGGAGAGGCCCCCCGGATGGCGGAGCGGGGGCCGCTGGCGGCGTGCCGATGGGGTCTGGCGAGCGGGCGGACGAGCTGCCGCTGGTGCGGTCGCCCAGCCACCGCCTCGTGGGCCACGCTGGCCAGGGCAAGGGCAAGGGCGAGAGCAAGGACAAGGGTGGCGCGAACAAGGACAAGAACGTCGGCGGCCCGATCCCCACGCGGAGCTCCGAGGCGCGCCACCGACCTGATGGCGACCCTCGGCCTGTCCGCAGAGTGCTTTCCTTCGGTCGGCGCCGACTCGGCTGCGCTGCGATACATGGCCGGTACCCTGGAGGCTCATGCTGGCGAACAAGGGATGCCGCTCGTGAAGCTGGCCCCGCGGCGAGGCGCCTTGCTGGTTCCGCCTCGTCTCTTGGCCCCCTCCCCCCCTTATCGGGTGTGGGCGGCTGGGGCCCCTTTCGCCTGGGGCGGCCGCTGTGCGGCTGCAGGTTTGGGCCTGTTTGTCCCCGCGGGGGTGGCTTCTGTCCGCCTGACCTGCCCTTGCGGCTGGGGCGGATGCCTGTCTGGCCTCTTGGGTTCGTTTCTGGCCTCCTGGGGTTTTTCGTCGCTTCTTGGGACGGGGCTCGCCGCGGCGCGCGGCGAGACCATGCGCGGTTACCCCGCTCAGGTGCTCGCGCATCCTCCTTCTTCTTCTCCCTCCTCATCCTCCTCTTCCTCCTCCTCCTCGTCGTTGTCCTCCTCCTCCTCCTCCCCCCCCTCTTCCTCCTCCTCCTCCTCCTCCTCCTCCTCCTCCTCCTCCTCCTCCTCCTCCTCCTCCTCCTCCTCTCCTCCCAGCTTCCGTTTGGCTGCTTTGCACTACACGCGTGCCCAGACGCGCAAGGATCCAGAGGCCACGGCCTCACCCACCTGGTCTGAGCCAGGCATCCAGGATAGGGTCGGAGTCGGTTGGGTCGGAGGATCGCTCCGCATCGCCGATGCATCTGCGATGCGGCTTGACGTGGGGCCAGATTTCTTCCGCGCCGATGGCACCGATGCATCGCCGACGTCGCCGATGAATCGACGATGCGTCGCCGATGCGTCGGCGATGCAGCGCGACTCTCCGACACCATCTGCTCGGACCCGATCTGGGAGGCCTCTAAACCTAGGGGCTCTCATGCAGGACGCTTACGCCATTCCACCGACCCCCACAAGATGCGACGTGCGGCTTGCGATTTCGTCTGTGCTGTTTGACACTTCTTGGCGTGTTGCCTGCACGTAGTTGTTGCTGACTCGTCATCTCCTGCTTCGGCGTATGTTCGGCGGGCTTTTGGGAGGCCTTTTGGAGGCCCAGGGAACTGCCTCTTCGAGCCTTTTCAAAGCTCTCAGGGCCCTGTTTGGGGTATTGGTGGTATGTTTGGGTATTGGAGGCCATCTTGGGTCTCCCTGCGAGTTCCCTCCCTCTCGGGTGTCTCTCGGGCCACCCTTGATCAGCGTCACCCCAACATACAAATACTATGTGTGCGTCGCCCCTCCTGGGGCGACGCGCTCACCGAACAATCTTCTAGTATGTGCGTCGTGGCGGGCGCTTTCTGGCCACACCGCTCGGGAAGCGGTCTACTACAAACTGGGTGTACTATGTGTTCGAGTCGGACGCGCGCCTCCAAGGAGGACGTGTACTATACGTCTCTGCGCGCCCCTCCTGAGGCCCTGTTGACGGTTGTGTTGCCTTCTCAGTGGCCTCTCGGGTCGTATTGGGGCTCTCTTGGGCCGTCTCTGGGCCCTCTCGGGGCATCTCTGGGGTTCCCGAGTCGGTCTGAGGGGGCCCTCGGGGTCCAGCGCAGATCCAAGAAATCCGCGCGGAGCGCCAGAAGTTTAAGCTCATAGCGTTTCGTTCTCGTTCTAAGCCAACCCGCACAGTAAGGACTTGCAGCCTTCCCAAAGGGTACCCCCTGGTGGTCCTTGCCTCCTCGGCCCATCCTTGGCCATTCTCGCTGGCCGCGCCCCGCTCGAGAAGCTTCGGGGCGGGCGTCTGAGGCCCCCGCGTCCTTGCCGCGCGTCCTTACTACACGGGCCGACCGTACCCTACACCGTGCGCGCGGCTTGCTCAGAGCTGCCTGCACCGCAGCCTGCGCAGCACAGTTTGCAGCGCTCAGCCCGCACCGCACGGCGTGCACCACACAGCTTGCATCGCACGGTTTGCACCACCTAGCTTACACCGCATAGCTTTCACCACACGGCGTGCGCCACACATGTCACACCGCGCAGCTCTTGCCTCCACAGTTCAGCAACACTCTAAGAGGAAGGATCTTGCACGCCATCGCTACGAATGCTTACTTTTGACATTTGCCTCTTCAGCCACCCTCGGCGCCGGCGCCGGCGCTGGCGGCCGCCAGCAGCGTTCACGGCGGGGACGCAGCTACGATGACCAGCGGCAGCCCAGGGGGGGGGGGGTGAACCCCCCCCCCCCACCCCCTGGCGCCAGGGGGGGGGAAGTGGGGGTTCAACCCCCTCCCCCCCGCGCCTGCGCCGGCGCCGGCCGCGGCCAGCAGCGCCGGCGCTGGCGCCGGCGACGGTGGGGACGCAGCGACTTTTACCACCACTACCACCACCACCGCCTCAACCCACCACCACCACAACCACCAACAACACCACACAACCACCACCATCACCACAGCACAGCTACCACCACCACCACACAACCACCACAACTCACCATCACCACCACCACCACACAAACCCACCACCACTACCACCACCACCACCACAATCTACCACACCACCACCACCACCGCCACAACCACCACCACTACCAGCAGCACAACCCACCACCATCACCACAGACCACCACACCACCACCATCACCGCCACCACCACCACAACAGCCGTTCACAAACCACCCCCACCACCACAACCCACCACCACCACAAACCACCACCACACCATCACCACCACACCACCACCACCACCACAACCCACCATCACCACCACCACCACAACAAAAACCCACAACCACTACCACAACCACCACCACAATCTACCACAACACCACCACCACCGCCACAATCACCACCACTACCAGCAGCACAAGCCATCACCACCACAAACCACCACACCACCACCACCACCGCCACCAACACCACCAC